TGACGGTCTAGATGTTTTGTTCAGACCTTATTTAAGTCTGAGATATTTTACTGTTGAACTGTTTAAATGTTAATAATCAACCAAATAATCAGACTATTTTAGGGTACCACTTTACAATAAGGCTCCCCTTATACATGGCTAATTAATAGTTTATTAATTCCTATAGAAACACTTTATAAATCATTAATAACTGCTTATGATGCATTAATTAAGGATGACAGAGAAACAAAACTGAACAATGTCTTGTCAAATCTGTTCACTTATATATTTCATGTAGAGTTGTTATATTAAACATTTCAGACTAAGTTATACCTTGTAAGCTCAATAAGCATTTATAAACCTATTTCATTAGCATATTATTGTACTTTATCACTGCATTATAAGTATCTACAACTAATATTATATCCTAAAAAAATTAGGTTTATAAATGATGAATAATGTGTCTATAAACTATTTATTAGCCATCTATAAGGTGAGCCTTACTGTAAAGTGGTACCTTTTTTAGGTTTAACACTGTCATTACATTATAAAACAGAGAATTCAGAAAAAATAAAAAACATATATAAAGAAAATTATTTTTAAATAAAATAAAACTGCTTGTAAAAAGTCTATATACTGGCTTTGAGTTAGATTCACAATGTTAAACACTTTTGTAGTAATCTAGAAGTTTAGATGGTTGGTTGAAATAAATTTAAAAAACTATTTTTAAAATGAAAATAACATTGTAGAATTTGACTAAAGAAGCACTTTTCCTTGAGGAGTTTGGAGGGTCCTGCCCAGTACAGTACATTCATGTTCCTTATTCTCTGCACCAAATATCTCCTTCATTAGTCATCGCTTTCAGCTTCCTTCCTGATGCTTTCAGATTCATTTGATCTGCAAACAAAAAGTCATTTACTGAGCAGAAAATGAACTATTCATACTGTCAGTTCCTTGGTTCTATTTATTTCATTCGGTTTTGAAGATATTTGATTAAAGAACGTCCCGTTAGCTGATAGGAACTACTGATCATTCAAAAACAGATTAATAGAGTTTGAGTTCATGAGTTCGGCCTGCTGTGGGACTCAAAAAAACACGGTCAGCAATTATTTAAACTAGTCCCATGCTGCATATATCAACATGTCTTCAATGTAGTACCATTTTACAGCACCTGCTGTACGCCACACAATCTGTAAACCTGAAGATTTATACCGCCTGACACCTGTCACCGTCCGATGACATATGATCCATTTAATTATGAAGAGAAAAATCTGTTTCTATAGAAAACTAGAAAAACTTACTCTTACGTATATGATTATTATTAAGTCTGGTCAGTGAGAGAACCCTACCAGTTGTCTAGTTTGCAACTAGGATGTGATGAAAGTTTCCTTGACACTGAGTTTTGAGGCAAATGAAACAGGAGCGCTGCATGTAGGACGAGGACAACAGATTGTTGCACGGGAGGAACTTAAGGAATCCATTTGTTGAGGAATGTGTGCACAAATACTGCTTTGAATGGAGGCAAGCACTGAAATGGTTCATGGAGTCATAACATGAATATGACTCAGGAATCAGAAAGTGCTCAACAATTGTGCTGTGTGTTTCAATCTGAGCAGAAATCTTAATGCTTTTTTTTTATTAACCGGGCAAAAAATTAATAAATACTTTGTGCGTGTGCAAAACTATGGAAAGAGAAGCCAGAGGTAAGATCACATTACAAAAAGTGTGCAAAAAAGTTTGTGTACAAAAAGATCCTCCACCATAACTCTCAGCACTGGCTCCCCTCAGGGCTGTGTGCTGAGCCCCCTCCTGTTCACTCTGCTCACGTGTGATTGTGCAGCTACCCATCTAGGCTGTCACATTGTAAAGTTTGCAGATGATACAGTGGTGGTGGGATGCATGACAAACAATGATGAGTCCAGCTACAGGCAGGAGGTGGAACACCTGGAGAGCTGGTGCAGGAAGAACAACCTACACATCAATGTGAAGAAGATGAAGGAGATGATTGTAAACTTCAGGAGGAACAAACACACCTACACCCCCCTGAACATAAGAGGATATGTGATGGAAGTGGTCTCCAGCTACAAGCACTTGGGTGTGGACCTGAATGACAACCTCAGCTGGAGCAACAACACCACCCGCCTGATCAAGAAAGCTTATCAGAGACTACTTCATCAGGCGGCTGAGACGAGCTGGTCTGGGAAGCTCAGTCCTCACCTCCTTCTACAGGTGTGCAGTGGAGAGCATCCTGTGCTCGAGCATCAACGTGTGGCATGGAGGCTGCACAGCTGCAGAAAGAAAAGCTTTGCAGAGAGTGGTGAAGGCTGCACAGAAGTCTGTTGGAGTCAGTCTCCCCACCATCACAGACATCTAAACCTCCAGATGCAGGAAGATGGCCACCTGCATCATGAAGGACCCCACTCACCCAGCACACACACTTTTTGCCCCGCTCCCCTCAGGAAGGAGGTTAAGGAGCATTAAGTGTAGAACCACTAGACTGAGGAACAGCTTCTACCCTGAGGCTGTTAGACTCATGAATCTCTAACCAGAATAATCACTGTGTGAAAAATCACATCATGTTGTTGCTGATCTGTTTCATGTTGCTGCTGATCTGTTTCATGTTGCTGCTGATCTGTTTCATGTTGATGTGTTCATGTGTGCTCATCTGCTCACACAGACTCATGTTCATGCTGCTGGTCGGTGTAATGTTTTTATACTATTAGTGCTTAGTGTATTTTTATTAACAATTTTCTTAGTTCATATCTTAGATGTTCTTATTGTTTTTCATTTACATTTTATTGTTGGATGTAACTGGGACCTTGTGTACATAATTTCGTTCCACCACATGTACCACATGAGGTGCGAATGACAAATAAAGAACCTCTGACTCTGACATTGATTTACACTTCTTCTGTTGGAGGCATGAACTTTGATTGATTTATACAACTAACTTTTGTTTTTCTCTTCTTAAATTATTCTTTTTTGTAAGTGCTGCCACTTAAATTAGTTTTATTCTCATTCTTATCTTAAAACCAAACTAAATACAGGCCTAGAGTCACCCGTCGCCTTTTGAAACAAAGTTTTAAACTGGGAGCATCTTTTGTTAAGGGACAAAGTTGTACACTTCTGGTGGAACCTTGAAAATAACACGCTCAGTTTCTCACAATAATGTGAGACGTCGCACTCAACAGCAGGCGTTGTAGACGATTCAGCTACTGCCACTTGAGGTTCAGGCTAATGCTGATAGGTTGTGGCAGCCATCTTGGATCTGGTTGGCTCCAAAAGTTAATCAACTGTACACGTGCATCTAATAATTATACTTGCTGCAACTGTCATTAAAATTAATCCAGTGGTTCATGAGATATTTTGCTAACAGGCAGATACACACACACAGACATGGGCAAAACATGAGCAACCCCGTTCACCTTCTGGCAGCAGAAGCTAGTCAAAATACTGTCATAGGGAATAAGTTAATCAAAATATTGCTTTGCTGTGATACATAACTACTAACATGCAAGAAAAATGATCAGAGGTTGAAAAACACCAACAACAAAAAAAGTACAGTAATCTACAAAATCAAGCTTAAAATATATTTTTTTTACTATTTAACATCTCAGAGATCAACAATGATGACATTTGTGGTTATAACAGAGCTTTCTAAAGAGCTGAAGTGGGCGGATTGATCCAAATATTGATTATTATGATTCCTAATGGTATTTATACTGATTTATTTCAGTGTATTAAGATCAAAACTTAAGTTTCACTTTCTACGAAGAGAGAAGTGAGCTTTTTTTTTTTTAAATCATAGTTTCTGAACACAAACAAGAAAAAAAGTGATTTTAATTTGTTCTCCAGTGATATTTATGTGCATTTTGTGGATTTAGGAAAAGGTAAATGCAGACAAAATCTGTTTCTGCATAAAAAACTTTTA